AAAAAAAGTATTCTCCCTGGTTTTCGGAGTACATCCAGAAGTTGAAGTACAGATGAGAAAAAAAAAAGTCCCTTTGTTTGCAGATGGCATCACGCACATAACATCAAAGGGCTTTTGAGGGCAGAACGTTCAGATACTTTCTGCCTATGGAGTGGTGGCTTTGATTCACCATTGGTAGCATAGTTGTACTGATCAAGGCTGCACTGATTCTGTACAAAGAAGAAAAATGCAAACTACTGTGTTGGCAACCAGGCTGGGTTTTTAATTCCCATCACCTGCGATCTCTTTTTATCACCTTTGATGACCAACTTTTATAATAGACTAGAATACAAATCAGAAGTTTTCTGATGGAGCTTACAACCTGCTTTTCTCCCACTCCCAAACCCTCGCATCTTCTCTCTTAACCTACAGGAAGGAGAATAAAAAGGAACAAAACCCCATGGCAATGGTACAATAGCCAAAGCTGCTCCAAGATGTTGTACGAGCTCTATCACAGCATTGAGATGCTGCTTGTGGCATTTTGCTTCCTGAGACACTCGGTATCTCCCATGAACTTGTCTGGTTAGCAATTTTGGACCTCCTGAGGGTTAGAGCTGCTTCACAAACAGTATTCCCAGTCCTGTCCTCCTGTGTGACTCCAGGCAAAGCATTTCCCCTTCTCCCTGTACCTCTGCCTCCCACACATTGTCTGATGGCTTTGTAGAACATATGGCTTTTTTGGAGCTGCAATCCTTGCTGTTTATGTCTTTGTATGAGAAACGGTTGTAGTGCCAGGGAATGCAAACAGTTACAGCACAGATGAAAAACAACTGTGTGAGATCTATAAAGCGAGAAATGGGAAGAGTTTAATAGCCCCTGGATCGGCACTGAAAGAGTGAAAATGCTTTAGAAGAACCTCTTTCTGCATTCAGAAAACTACAAGCTCCTTTCCTCCTCCAGGGAAGATCAAGATGGTCCTCCCATCTCAAACAACACTAGAGGTGTCCTTTGGGAGTTCTACAGGTTGCCTTGGTTTCCTAGAGGAGCTGCCCAGCAAGACTCCTCAAAGGCATATCCCAAAGAGAGAGGTTTGTCACTTCGGGGTTTGCTCTTGTTGATTTTCTCTCTTAATTTGCCGAGTGTACTCAGGCATGCCAGTATTGATTCAAACAGAACAAATGGGTCTGTGATGCTGAGACTTATGAAGCTTTCCTATCAATTTGTGGTTTTCTGGCTGCCGCCTGATGGTTGGTGTGTGTGCGAGCCAGTAGAAGTTGTCCTGTGAGCAGCTAACGGGAAGGGATGGGCAGGGAGCTTGAGTGCATGTAATTATTATTTCGCTATTAGGAAATCTGGATAGGACTGATTCAATCTGTATTCTGCATTTACAGTGTTAAGAAAGCATGGAGTCTTGCTGAATTAAATGAGAGCGTTCTTATACTTACAGCTTTTCTCAGTTTTAAGTATCAAAAAGAGCAGGATGGCTTTGGAACGGTGCCCTGGTAAGGGTGACTGCTTAAAAAAACAGCCCTTAAAACTTTGGTTAATTGTTGGCTTTGAACCATTTATGCCAACTTCTAGAGCAAAATTAATAGTCACCAATTCCATTAGTAACACAGGGGATACAATAACAGTGCCACAAGAAGAACCGGTTCAAACACAGCTGGTTGGAGTTTGTGACATTTTTGACGTAGAAGGGTTGTCTTAAGATGGGTGTTCCGATTTGTCAGTATTATTTTAGTTACTTTCGGGCTGTTTCTTCCGTGTTCGGTCCTTCAGACGCGGGTTATTACCAGCCTAATAGAGTTTTGCTATTTATGCCTATTTGTGCTGGTAGCAGGCCAGATGTTTCACAACGAGGCAATCTCTGCTCTGAAGAGAGCGCAATCAGACGCAGGCCCGCAGGAAGCTTCCCACGGCTGCGGGTTGTGTCGGTGGAGTTCACCCAGCGGTCAAGGACCAGGCGGCCGCTCACCGAACCGCGCTGCCTGCAGTGCCCCAACAGGGACATCGCTGTGCTTCCAAGCGTCAGAGCAGTCCCTGTTCCCCTTGAGCAGAAGGCAGCTGCCTGCCAAGCCAAGCCACCGTCGTCCTTTTGCATTCATGGGAATCTCTCAACCTAAATGCGTTTACTGTTCTCTATGGTCTTAATCTGATATTATCTGCTCTCTACAGTTTTGTAATTCTACAGTAGTTATGAAAGAAAACAAAAAGAAAAGGATCCCAGAGCTGCTGGAGCTACAAACCGCAGCATGACAGTGTGAGTTACCACGCTGTGTCTTGTGGCCACCTCTCGCTGTGCTCTGCCTTGTGGCCCACGTGCTGAGGGGCGGAGAGGGATGTCCAGGAGTCACCCAGAGTGATGTGTGGGCAGATGAGATCCAAACAAACCAAATGGATGGAGGAAGCCAGTTGTATCCAGCAGTGCTACCAAGAGCTCAGGTAGGAAACGGTTCTTCAGAAGCAGGGGAAAGTGACCCAGTGTTGGTGATGGGACCCTGAGAAATCCAGGGAAGTGCAGAGGCTGAGGGTCCTGTGTGATAGCAAAAAAAACCCACTTCTGACTGTAGGACTGGGCAGGGTGAGAAGGACAGGGGCAGCCCAGGTAGAGCGGGTGGCTTCTGGTAGCCTGGAGAATCAAAGTGAATGAGTGCATGCTGCAGGTGCCTGCTTGGCCACATGTGCTGTAGGCTCTGCAGCTGCATGGGATGGCACGAGCACTGTTCCCACATTGGAATGCAGTGTGATACCATTCGGTTTGCTCCCATAGCGTGATCAGTGCATTTTCTGACTTTCATAGACATCTTAGTGTCCATAAGTACTTACAGCAGGAAGTTCCAATGTTAGTTTGCTTTTTGGTGAGGAAGTCGTTTGTCTGTTTGTTTTATATTTGGTCCTGCTTGTTCCTGTTTCTTGGACTAGAAGAGACCACGCACAGTTGCTCTCTCTCACCTTTTCCACTTCATGCTCATCTATGACAACACGGAGGCCTGACCAGACTTGATTTGGCTTTTCACCTAGTGACTCTTCTTTGGGACTATGGAACACTTGCTAAAAAGTGCAGTTTTCATCATGAGTGTGTGCAGCATCTGCAGCCTGCTCCTTTTCCTGC